TTTACAACTGAACATTGACTTAATATACCTTTGAAACTTTACAATGCCGAAGAAAAATGCTGCTTTTAACCATCTTAATTGAAATGAAACTAGCGTAGAAACAGTTCCCTTACCTTGTCAAATCTTTTTTTAAACTTTCCCTTTATTTTTTAGTAGTTTACGTTTAACTCAGTACTGTACCATATTTGCCCTTTTTTTTTCCCCCCCATCTCTTCTGCTGCCTGATTGCATACTTCCAGTTTCAAATGAGGTGTGTGGTTAACTGGTCAGTTCATAACTTTGAGCTTCTACTGTAATTGAATAGCAGAGGCAGGCAGTGGAGCTATTCACAAGGCGGAGTAGAGCAGAGCGTACCATGCCCCTGTTTGTAGAAGCTAGGAGCTGGGGAGGAGAAGTAGACCTTTATACTCCTGTTGTGGCTGTGTTCTTAACCAGTAGTGATTGTCTGCAGTGGAAGACTGCAAGAAGTCCAGAAATTTAAGACAGTGTCAATGTATATTTACAGTTTTGTTCTTTTGTATTGCCTTGGTTCAGCTCAATCCACTTGACTTTTTCTCTGAATGCATGTTGCAAGCAACAATTTTGAAGAATATTTTTTAAATTCTCTGTTAAAAGCTTTGGGAACATATGGAGTTCAACATTACACTACATTGTTACAGAGTAGTGAAATGTAGAATGTAAAACGTTTGGTGTTTGTATAGCACCTACCACAGTTAAGTCCTGGTCCATAACTAGCGCTTATAGGTGCTACTATGACTGGTCCACAACTGGGGCTCATAGGTGAATAATAAATTCAGTTAGTTACATAGAACTTTTTATTTTATCTCCTCAAGAAAAGGTGCATTGGCTAGAAGTACTTTTTGGCCATAATTACTGTCCAGTAGGTTCCAGTATGTTGCTGTTTGGGCAACGATCTTGAGATGGAGGTTTCATATACTCTCAAAATTGCCTTCATGAAAGGATGGAAGGCTCTTTTCATAAACATTTCCTTTCCACTTTTCTAATATAGGAGTTTTCAGCTGGTTCATGTCTCTTCATCACTGGACGAGATTTCTAATATAGGGCAACATTATGCCTTGCAACCTGAATCATTTGATACAGAAAGCAGCTGTCGGCATGAATGGTTTCCCCAGTCTCCATTCCAGAAGCAGAGTTCTGGAACTTAGCTTGCCTGATTCTTGTGCCTCTTGATATTAAATTTAGTTCTCTCTAGAACAGTGGTCACGAACTGGTAGATCGCGATCAACTGGTTGATTGCGGCGCCTCTGTCAGTCACTCAGTTACAATCTAGGGTTGCCAACCTTCTTGCAGCCAAACCGGGAGATCGGCTACTAACAGTCCAGCGGGGCTAAGGCAGGCTCCCTGCCTGCCCTGGTCCTGCGCCACTCCCGGAAGCAGCTGGCATGTCCAGCAGTAGCTCCTGGGGGGATGGGGGGTCTCTGCGCACTGGCCCCCTCCAAGAGCCAGCACCCCCACCTCGTGCCCCAGCCCTGAGCCCCCTCCTGCACCCAAACTCCCTCCCAGAGCCCGCACCCTGAACCCCCTCCTGTACCCTAACTCCCTGCCCTAGGCCCAGCCTGGAGCCTGCACCTGCTCCCGCATTCCAACCCCTATCCCAGCCTGGTGAAAGTGAGTGAGGGTTGGGAAGAGCGAGCGACAGAGGAAGGGGGATGGAGTAAGCAGGGCGGGGCCTTGGAGAAGGGTGGGACAGGAGCATGGCCTTGGAGGGGGGCAAGGGTGTTTGGGTGTGTGTGATTACTGTTATTTCTACATTTTCTTTGGGGTAGATCCTGCATTGCACTTAAATTTAAAAAGTGATCTTGTACTTAAAAAGGTTGGAGACCGTTGCTCTAGAATTTCCACACTGCTTATGTTTCTACGCTGTCACACACTCCACTAACGTGTAGGTTCCCTCTTCCACCCATCGCCTTTCCAGCACTTAGTTTAAAGCAGACATACCTAGCTTTCTCTAAAGCAAGGGGAATCGAAAGGTCTGGACCACTAGAGCAGCTTGATGAGCCACTCCTTTCTTACAACTTTTGGGGGGCATTGAGACAAATTCTATGGGGTAAGTTTATATGTAGTATAGTTGTAGCCATGTCAGTCCCAGGATATTAGAGAGACAAGGTGGATGAGGTAATATCTTTTATTGGACCAACTTCTGTTTGTGATAGAGACAAGCTTTCGAGCCACATAGAGCTCTTCTTGTCTTGTAAAGATTCTCCAAGTGTCACAGCTAAGTGCAAGGTGGAACAATTGTTTAGCATGAGCAGCTAGCACATATTCCAAGGGATCATTCAAGATAGAATGGCCCGGTAACATCTCTGCAGTCATAGAACAAAAAGATGGGGTTAGTGGGTTACAGATTGGATTTATGGTTTATTGCAATAATGTGTCTGTTCAGTCCATGATTTTTAGTGTTTAGCAAAGTTATGAATTTAAGCTCCCAGGTTTGTATTTTGAAAGTTTTGTGCAGGTTTCCTTTGAGGATGATCACTGATAGGTCAGACAGAATGATCGCCTTGTGAAAAGTGTTCACCCACAGGTGATAGGGTTTCTTGTCTTTTATCATTTTTCTGTGTGAGTTCATTCAAGAGCATAGTGATTGTCTGGTTTCACCCACATAGTTGTTATTTAGGCATTTAGTTAACTGGATGTGGTATACCACATATTGTGACAGGCATGTGTAGTTACTCATACAGCTCAAGTGGTAGCAGTCCAGGTTGGAGACCTGAGAGTCCAGGTTTCAAATTTTGCCATTTACCCTTTTGGACATCCTTGTGGTGGTACATGATAGATTTACCATTCACAGAAGATACTGGCGGTGACCTATTGGCTAGCGAAGTGGTGTAAATTAGAAGGTTTTGGTTTCATGGGGCATTGGGTCACCTTTTATGGGAAAAGGGGCCCTGTATAATTGGGTGGCCTTCATCTCAACAGTAAAGGAACCAGTCCTGTAAGTAACGGAGGACTGTGGGAAGTGAAAGAGGAAGAGCCTCTCATTCAGAACTGTTGAGCTCCGCAACAGGAGGAGAAGGTTGATATCTGTGGGTGTGGGGTAGAGGAGAGAGGGAATTAGTTTTCTCATCCCAACTCTTCAGTCATTGATGAAGAGCAGGATGGATCTTTCGTGTAGTGACCTGCCTGCTGGATCATTTGTTAAGGGTTGACTTCAGTTATTCTGAAGGGTACTAAGAATAGTTCTTATAACTTCCAATATAAATCTTGGTCACATTTTAATGTTCATGTTCTAATTTTGCCTTTTCATCCTCCATAACAAGAATTTCTTCAAAACCTTGTGGTGATTGTTGAGCTATTGGTAGAATATATTTAAATTCATGGGCTTTGAGGGAAAAAGAGGTGCTGACTAATGAGAGATCTTGTTGACTGTGGAGGCTTCTTTTCAGGCTTCTTTAAAACACAGTCCTCTTAAAATCACTTTATTTCCTTGTACTGCTCTTTTTTCAAAGCACTTTTCTTTTAAATACTCCCACTCCCAGTCTAATTTTGCTTTTTAAAGAAAATTCTCATGTATTATGTAACCACTTTTTGCATAAGTTACTTATTTTTTCTAAGAGATCATCAGTCCATACTATTGAGTTGTTTTTTCCTTCTTTTTCAGGCAACAATAACCAATAATATTGAAAGAATTTTGATGTGTTCCTTGGCCTTAGAACGTGCAGGATAGACTTCATTGGGAGTTTTACCATTGATTTCACTGAGAGCAAGATTGGGGCCTTGGTTTGTTTCCTGCTTCCAGTGTTGTGCTCTGCAGTCTAGCCTGCCTCTACAGAAAGTAGTCTTTCTCACTTCAAACTGGAGTAATTTTCTCACAGAAAGGCCTTACTTATATATCTCTCTGAAGACAGCTATTTAAAAATTTGTTTTCACTGCTCTATGGAAGTGGGTCTGCATGGGGGTCTGCTTCACACTGAAGTGACAGGAAGAGCCATTTCAGATAGTAAGATACTACTACAATAATGTGGGCTATATAAATCCCTAGGTTGGCTTCAGGACAGAGGTCCATCAACCTAAGGAGTTTCTAGGGCCCTTAGTCTCAAATGACCCAGAATGGCAGGATGATTATAGGTCTTGGAAGTTTAAATAAAGTTCTGGTTTCTTTAACCTTCAAAGTTTGTTCCTCTGTCAACTTTAATCTTGGTTTTACCTTACCCAAAGCTCTTTAAGGACAGCTTCTGACTGTTTGGGTTTAGAAGGGGTACTTGGATTCATTAGCAAACCTGTCCAAGAAACTGCTTTTTGTGTTCTTCTTGCCTTTAAATCGTGTTATCTTTCTGGAGGTTTTGGAAAGATGTCACTGAATATTGAGTCTCCTTACACTCTTTAAAAAAATTGTTTAATTATTACTTTTATTGTCATGGTTCTAGATCTCAGTCAGACTTCAGATCCTTATTTCTTTTAAAGGGTAAGGTGGCATGTAATGTGTCAGTTGTTCCTTTCATTCATCCATTGGCAGGGCCAGACATTTTCAAAGTTTTTCAAAATTATCTAGGGATGACCCTTGACTGTGTTGTATTTCCTCAGTTCCTTGTTAATGTAGCCTCTTTATCTGGGGTCGTCTTATCATTTCTTCAGACTCAGTGGAGCGCTTATTGCTGTAGACTGACAGGTTCTCTCTGACTTTCTATATTGAAATCTGTTATAGAGCTAGAAGTCTTACCTTGTACCTTCCTGGGATTTTTGTCTCTGGTCGCTTTCAGCCTCATTTGTAAACATTGTTCTTCAAGGTGTCTCCCACTGTCAGTAGTAGTTCACTCTTGTTCCTTTTTAAGAGAATTACAAGCTGTAGTCACCTTTTTGGTCACTCATTGTTGCCTGTCTGATCCAATTGGTCATGTATATAGTGTCAAAATATAATTTGAAGGTAAAACATCTTCATTTCTTGTCGATCAAGATAACATTTTCTTTGGGCAACAGATATCTTTATTCACTCTTATTGTGTATACTTTTGGTCCTTCAGTGAATCTTTCTGTCTGTAGGTAAACTAACAGGATGTGGAACAACAAATCGAAGGAGGTGCCTTTACAAAACCCAAGGCACACTCAGAACAGGGATTCCCTCAGAGGTATGGATTTGCTTTGTTGTATCGCTTTACTTTAGAAGCAGTTTTATCCTAGATAGTGTAATATTTTATATTGTATTGTAAATTTTGTAGATATATATTTTTTTTTAATTGGGTCAAAGGCTAAAACCATATCTCATACAGCTTACTTTCTGTAGAACAGCAGTTCCCAGACAGTGGTCCAGAGTGCTGTTAGATCACCTGGTGCTGACTCCATTTCATTGCTTCCAGACACTTTTTTTATAAATGTTCAGGCTCTTAATTGCAAGCTTTGTCAAGAAAGGACAAAACATTACGTTTAAAAACAGTTACATTGTTATTTCCTATTATTACTTTTCCAGGTAAGTATTTACTGCAGTTGTCATATGGACGATGCGTGCTCACAAACAGGAGTGCAGGTTGTCTGTGATATAAGATTTTGGTTAAGATGTGGTCCACACTATGACAAAACTTGAGGACCCCTGCTATAGTTGATGACAAGCATATTTGACCTATAAAATCATATATACTCTATAATTTGATAGCTGAAATACCTCATTGTAATTGACTATGATTGTCTCCTAAAAAGTTCTTGTGAATGTCTTGTCAGAGTTTATAGACCTGTAATTAAGGAAATATTATTCAGGGGTTTCAAGGATTTTGTAGATGTTTTATTGAGGTACCATTTCTCAGCAAATGTGTCCTGTTGCTATTTCCAGATCCTCCCTTCCCCTTTCTCTCATGTTGTTACACCTTGTCCTAAATTAGATTGGTTGCTCTTCAGGGCAGTGACCAGATCTTTGTATGTTTGTACAGTTCCTGGCATAATGTGGCCCTGGTCCTGACTGGAGCTTCTGGGTACTACTGTAACATGTAATTACATTTAGCAACACTTACAGTTGACTTTTTTTTTTTTAAAAAGTGCTTGTCAAAATCGTCTACTTTAAGAAAAAAGATAATACTTAAATACTATTTCAATAATTTTGGGCATATTACTAGATTTCTGAAGATAGCTAACTTTTTTTATAAATTTAGCTTATAAAGCTGAAGTAAGTGAAGCTTATGAACCTATCACCCATTCTTTGGAAATCTTGGCTATATGTATTGTATATGTAACCTGTGAAGCTTAAACATAGCTTGTTACTCTTGAGTACCAATGTATGACAACTTGCAGTCTAAGTGTGAGCTTCCATTGACCATATATATTCATAGCCTGTTTGTAAAATAAATAAATAAAAATATAATGTTTAAAAAATCAAAATTCAAAGCATGAGATATAATGGAAAAACCCCATAGATATTTGTGTGGTCACATGGGTAATGAATTTGCTGTAGATTTTTAAAATATATAGGAGTTCTGGAGATGAATAGGAGATGTAATAGGAAACTCAGCCTAACTTATGTAACTCTTAATAACTTGATTTTTTTTTGGTTAAAAATATAGTTTTTAAAGAAAATCATATTTCTTTTCTAATGACGCTGTCTAATAATTACCCCCCACAGAGGAGTTTCATGGTTTGGGATGAATTCATTAAAAGGAATTAGTTAGTGAGCCATGCAAAGCTGTTTTAAAATGTTTTGTTTCATTGTGTTACTTGAATTAATAGGAAACTTGATTTTATTCTTTTATTTTTGTTTTGTGAGATCTAACCACAGCCTGGGATACTTTTTCTCAAACTAAGGCTACAGTAAGTATATTTTTTTTCTGGATTGAAATCAGTTAATGGCCACTTCAGTTTTATTGAATGCCTTATTTTCCCCATAGTTTGATGGTTACAGAAGTAAAAAATGGGGTTGGTGGTTGGGGGCATGAAGATGATGGATGTTCTTACTGCTTTGGACAGCAATTCTGACAGTGTAATTTAATGCTACAAGAAGCTCATTACTGAGGATAATGAAAAATCAGTCTTGCTTGGCTACTATAAAACTGATACCATTATCAATTAATAGTATTGTTTTTATCAATCAGAATGGTATAAGGCAGGGGTGGCCAACCTGAGCCTGAGAAGGAGCCAGAATTCACCAGTGTACATTGCCAAAGAGCCACAGTAATACATCAGCAGCCCCCACATCAGCTCCCCCACCCCGCTCCCAGTGCCTCCCACCTACCGGCAGCCCTGCCAATCAGCACCTCCTGATCAGCTGTTTCGTGGGGTGCAAGAGGCTTGGGGGGTGGGAGAGAGGAGCCCGGACACTGCAGGCTCAGGATAGGGGGCAGGAAGGGGTGGAGTGCGGGTAGGGCCTGTGGCAGAGCCAGTGGTTGAGCAGTGAGCACCCCCGGCACTGGAAAGTTTGCTCTTGTAGCTCCAGCCCCGGAGTCGATGCCTATACAAGGAGCCACACATTAACTTCTGAAGAGCTGCATGTGGCTCCAGAGCCACAGGTTGGCCACCCCGGTATAAGGAATGTATGGGTAACTTGTGTTAAATGTTTTTGTAATTTCTTTTTAATTATTGCAAAAAAGATGTAAATGTTAACTAGAATCTTGTGATATCTTTACATTGAAGCTTTTAACTCATATTAAATATTCCTTTTTATTTTTGTATTATCATAGTGCCTAGGAACCCCAGTCATCATCCAGGACCCCCTTGTGTTAGGCACTGTACACAAACAGGACAAAAAGACAGTCCATTCCCCAAAGAATTTACAACCTCAGAAAGCACATAATCTGCCAACTGGTAGCTCTGTAGTAATCCAGGGCTGCCAAATTACATGTCAGCTTTCACCAAACTGAATAGTATAAAGAATCTTGCTCCTGAAAATCTCAGTTAGGGTTAGTAAATATCAAGGCCAAGATTTTTCAAAAGTGGCTAGTGATTTTGGGTGCCTAATTTTGGCACTTTAAGGGGTAGTGCTTTTCAGAAAGTAATGAATGCCCATCCTCTGAAAATCTAGACCCCTTTACAGTGTCAAAGTTGGGCCCTCAAAGTCACTAATTACATTTGAAAATCTCCTAAATCCCTGCAGGTGTGAGCTGTAGAGTGAGATACCTCTCTGTCATTTTAAAAGAACTAACTGTCCTCTTCTTACCTACTGAGATTCAGAGATTGGGGCTGGTGAAGCAATATACATATGTTTCATAGTTCCATATGTACTGCACCAACCATGGAATACTACCATGATGTGTGAATTTAAGCTGTATACTCAGGATGCAATGCTACATTTTGTATAAACTGGGGTACAGTGAAATAAAGATGCTAAATTTCTTTGGCAACTTAGGGAATTTCTCTGTATGTTCATTACCTCTCTCACTTTGAATAAGGGAGTGAAGTGGTACAGTTTTATACGTGGAATCCTGTTTCATGTTCCCTCTAGAGTAGAGCATTATAGAATACAGTGTGTTTTCGTTCTTAGTGGTTATGTTTCAATGAGGCCAAGTGTTAAGACCTTTGGCATTTTGTATAATTCTGTTGTTGGCAATGACCCACTTATGGAAACAGATTTAGTCAACAGAGCTTAATTTGAATAATCTTTTTTTGTACTAATCTTCATATTCTAATGTTTCTGGTCACAAGACTATACAAGTTTGTACCACCAGATTTTTAAAGCTGTTCTTGCCTGTAATTGTTTCTTACTGTGAAAGTGAGAGGAGTTCTGTACTTTTTGTTTAAGTTGTATCCTCACCATTCAAAAAATGAACCTGAATATTGTTTTGTGTCTTGAAATTCTAGTTGCGTCATATTGAGAACAAACTGGAGGTAGCGCCTACCAGCACAGTAGTATTTGATTCTGTCATGGATGCCAAGAAACCCTCTGCCAGTGCTACCAGGAAAATAAGCAGGAAAGGTGTGTATTACTTAAAAGATTAATTATATAGGGCAGGGTAAGAAGTCGTCTTTCTGAGTAGTATCATTTTCATTTTTTTAATCCTCTTTTCCCAGTTTCTTTTGTTCATGAACTTGAGAGAAAGTTGGAGCAAGGTTTCTCTTTCTTCTGAATACATTGTCCTGAAAAAAAGAAAAAACATGCTGCCTATTTGGTGATGGTATTTGGAACTCTCTAGAAAGGTCCTTTGCTGCAACTTCTGCTTACCATAGTCTGTTACCTTGTTTCTATGGCATTCCCGCTAACAGCTACACATGCTGATGGCTGGCGCCAGCAGTAGTATTACACTGGAGTGACCATCTAAATTTTTAACATTTCTTGAACTAGTTAACTCATTGTAATAGTTTCACAACACTCCCTTTCAAGGATAAATGCCCTTATAATACTGCATTTTTAAAGTGATTGTAATCATGACATCGAGGCCATGAAAGGAGAAAAAATCATATTGTCTAATGCTACTTTTAGAATTCAAACCACTTATGAAAAAATGTGTTCCTATTTACAGTGTGTGTTTTCCTCATCCCTGTTCAGCCTCTATCGTTAGTCGTAATTTAACTCATTTGGCATTCTCATAGGATTTATATTAACATGTCAGAGCAGCAAGAAAACTTGTTGGATCTCTATTTCTCTGATTCAGTCAACTCTCTTGGGCTTAATCATTCCCAATTATGGTTTTTTAAATATTCTTTTAGAAATTTTTTATGAAGAACTAGTGCAATGTGTAGCTTGAGTGTTTATCGCTTACTCCTAGTATCTTGAAACAGATTGCTAGTGAAGAGAAGGTGAGAACTTAAGTGCTATTCTTGAGCACTAATTGAACCCAAGGAGAACTGCATTCTAAAAACCACTCAGCCCTATGAGCCTTCTCTTCCTGCAGATGGTAGGTACCTAGAGGATTCCTTGGTTTCTGCTTCAGCCTCCAGGTCCTCAAGCCAAAATAAGTCACGCAAAGAGAAGTCCTCCCGCAGTCCTCTTCGAGCTACAACTCTGGAGAGCAATGTGAAAAAGAGTACCCGTGTGGAATTTCGTGAACCCTTGGCTTCATACAGGTTAGTGCAAGAGAGAACTGACATTTACTGTGAAATACACAAACTGGAACAGAGCTGTTGCCAATGTTCTTATGAACACTTCAGGACTGGGTTTGTTTTTTTTCTGTCAACAGGTGGATAATGAACAAAACCTCTTGGTTTTTGATTGAACAAGTATAATATCTGATGTGTTGCGTAAGGGGCTTTATCATCCATTTACTGGAAGATGGACACAATGATCCAATAGGTCTCTTATGTCTTTAACTTCCGTGATAATCCCCCCAATATTTGGAATATCACTAAAGTGTTGTATTTGTTGCTGAAAATGCATTCTTGTTCTTCTCCGGCTTCTGCTAATCACCTATAGTAAAATAATGTGCTGTATTTCTGCTAATGTCTACTAAATCCAAGCATTTCATTCTTGGTATTGAGGCAAAACATTTGTTTTTAAAGATCAGGGAGCTATCTTAACTGGGATTTTTAAAGGGGTTTAATGGACTTCAGTTCCTAACCCACTTAAACTGTTCTGAAAATTCCAGCCCTAATGATTACTAGTCAGCTCTTGTCATCAGGTTTGAAAATACCTTATTGTATGCTTCCTATCTCCCAGAAGCTAATTCATGGGAATTTGTTGGTATTTTCTTCCTACATAAATGAAAACGTGATTAAGAAGTAATTTAATTTTGTCCACACTATTAATTGGTGCTTTAAAATGACAATGAAATAACTAGATTTTTTTTACTACCTGTTTTTAGAATCTACCTTTAAAAGATTTAAACCAAAATTTCTACTATTTTTCTATGACAACTTGTTTAAAAGGCTGCCCTTAATAGAACTGCCACTCTTTACCAGTAGTTTAATTTTCTGTACAGTGTACAGAATAAGCCAAAGAATCTTCTTCAGCACTGGAATTGCAAATGATATCAGAAAGACTGAAACATTTTATTTAACTGCTGAATTGCTGTTGCAAAGCCAGCAGATTTCAGAGTAGCAGCTGTTTTAGTCTGTATCCGCAAAAAAGAACAGGAGTACTTGTGGCACCTTAGAGACTGTAAAGGGGCTAGCTGTGGGCTCAACCCTCTCCAGGGCGGCAGGGAGCCACACCGGCTCACTACACACAGCTGAGGATTGGGGAATTACTTCGGCCACAGAAGTCTTCCCTTGCGGCTCTTGTGGAGGCAGAAAATAAGTACAGTTATGCCGGGGCCCTAGGTCAGGGCAGGGCTGCGCAATAATACTATAGCAGTAGCAATATAAACAGTAGTAAGCCCTGGCCCCAGGTTAGGGCGGGGCAGTAATGAGTCAGGAGCTCAGGCAGGGCTGAGCGTAACAGTAGGCCCAAGCCTCAAAATGGTTTGGGAGAGGGGGAGACTGCCATCCATGAGTTGGGTGGCAGGGGGGACGCAGGCCCTCCCACTCCACTGCATCCCAGCCTGGGGCCCTAGCAGCTGTAGAAGATCCACTGCTGTGTCAGTGGGGATCCTGGCCGCAACACACTGACATGGGCTCTGGCAGTGCTACAGCCAGACTAGGGTCGGCTGTCCCTGGGCTACTTCCTGACTCCCCCTCTGGTGGTACCTGAGTCACGGTGGAGTCCTCCGGGGGGTCCAGCATCATGGGTTCCTTGGGGTACCGGGCGAGTGGGAGGCCCGGCAACTCCTCTGGGTAGCGAGCACAGGGCAGGTCCGGCAACTCCTCCGGGTAGTGGGCACAGGGCAGGTCGGCCCAGTACTGGCGTGCACTTTGGGCCACAGGGGCTTCCCAGTCGCGGGCTAGGCTGGAGGTGCCTGGCCTCCCCAGAGGCTGGCCCTCTAGTGAGCTCTGAGGGCAAGCCTTTATACTTCTGGGTCCCTGCCTGACCCTCTGAGGGGTGGGCTCAGAGTGCCCTAGCTCCGCCCACCCCGGTCTCTGGATGGACTCGTCCCTCTCCGGGGCGGCAGGGAACCGCACCGCCTCACTACAGAGACTAACATTTATTTGAGCATAAGCTTTCATGGGCTAACCCAACCCCGCCGCCCCCCTTTCCCCCCCCAAAAAAAGAAAAGAGCAGCAGAGGAAGTACAAAGCATTATTACAAGTAATAGGGAAATAGTAGCTATTTCTTAACTTCTTGGCAGTGGCAATAGATTTTTAAAACAACTTTTCCTAGTTTTGATTCATCTTAAAATCTTTTTTCTAATGTATATTATTGGTGATGTAGAAAGAATGTTTTCTATCTTGATACATTTTTTTCTTTGCTTTTTTGAGGACTTTGATTGTGGACCAGCCCCTTTATTATTATCATAACCAACAGAACATGAGATTTCATCTATTTTTGAATAGCATAAGTAATGATAAAGTTTTTCTTGGCTGTTGAGTCATGTATTCGTGTAATTTAAGTTTTTTAATTTCCTTGACATTTTACTTGTGGAATTTTTGCACCCTGTTAGGTCAACAAACAACCTGGTAAACTATTGTATAAACTTGGAGTCTTTAAAGAAACGCCTTGAAAATTGCATAGGAGAGTATTGAACAGCAAGGGATCACTGACCCTATTGTAGGGAACACTCTGTCTTTCTGTCTGTCTCTCTCACATGCACACATGCAGAGAACCTTGCTGACTTTAAGAAAATATTGGTTGGGGGCAGTTGGAAGGCGTGTGGTGGGGAGAAATACTTAATGATTACAGTGTACCCAGAAACCTAAAACAAGCTTGTCACTGCAGAATTAGTTTGGTTAGTACTTAAGATTTCTGAGGTTTGTAGCATTTCACCATAAGTCCTTCATTACTTTTTTTCTCAATTTGTGGCAAACCTTGGCCCTAGTCATAATGAATGACTTGTTTAAATTGATGATGTGTAGGATTTTTAAAAGTGCTCAACCGCTTCCTAACTCAGATCCCACTGAAGTCAATGGTAAAACTCCAATTGACTTCGGTAAGAGTTGAATTAGGCCACCACTAGCTGTTTTATAAAAGTCCGACCTTTTATCTCTTTATTTGTAATGGGCCCAGCACCATTGTTATCTCAATGTCAGTAGAAATTAAATGTAAGCAAACATAGAATTCTATCTTGCCTGCAGGCTCCTTATTCCAACTGTGGATTTTCCTCCTTGGCTACATAGGAGGCAGAGTTGGACCTGTCAGGCTGGGGGCTCTTTTGCTGATTAAACTGCTCCTGTTGTTAGTTTTCCATCTGGAATAATTATTTCCTTGACATCAGTCACTTGTTGTAAAAGCAGCGTATCAAATTATTTGACTTCAAATACAGGGGGAAAAAACAGGAGTAGATGAACTCTTATCAACCTAATATCATTTCTCATTCAAATATACTTAGCTATAAAGAAATCTAAAGTACAGGAAATGAAAAAGACTATTTTTTTGCATTGTGAAGATTGTAAGATCAAGTACTCAAGTCAGGGCATTCAAATTGTTGTGCTTGTGCTGATTATGTTAATTCTGTCCTATTGCATGTCCTGTATAGTTTTATGGTATACATTACTAGAGTGTGGCACCTGAAGGTCTGTATTTAACATGGAAAAGAGAAATAGAAAATGCTGAGTGTGTGCAGTGTCATGCACATGGCTTCAAAAAGCTTCCTTGAACATATACGTGCCCAAGGATTAAGCCTACTAGCCTAGATGAAAAATATCTACAGTGTCACCTCAGTAGTCCTGCCATGCATTGGCACATATTCAACCCCTCTTGAATAAACCTTAAATAAATAAATTCTGCCCTCATAGCACACATACATCCTAGAATACTCAAGGAGCTGACTGAGCCATCAGCAAATCTTCAAAAAGTCATAGAAGCCAGGAGAGATTTTAGAGGACTGGAAAGGGGCAAATATAGTGCCAATCTATAAAAAGGAGAACAAGGACAACCCAGGGAATTACAGGCCAGTCTGCTTAATTTCTGATAATGGAGTAAATAATCAATCAATTTGCAAACACCTAGAAGATAATAAAGTGATAAGTAACAGTCATCATGAATTTGTCAAGAAAAAATGGTGTCAAACCAACCTAATAGCTTTCTTTAACAGGGTAACAAGCCTTGTAGATGGGGGGAAGCGGTAGATGTGATGTATCTTGACTTTAGCAAGACTTCTGATACTGTCTTGTATGACCTTCTCATAAACAAACTAGGGAAATACAACCTAGATAAAGGGTGCATAATTGATCGGAAAACTGTTTCCAGAGAGTAGTTACCAGTGGTTCACAATTAAGCTGAATTAAGGGCATATCAAGTGGGGTCCCATAGGGATTGGTCCTGGGTCTGGTTCTGTTCAATATCTTCATTAATGATTTAGATAATGGCATAGAGAGTACACTAAGGGTATGTCTACACTACGAAATTAGGTCGAATTTATAGAAGTTGGTTTTTTAGAAATCGTTTTTATATAGTCTGTGTGTGTCCCCACACAAAATGCTCTAAGTGCATTAAGTGCATTAGCTCAGCAGAGTGCTTCCACAGTACCGAGACTAGCATTGACTTCTGGAGCATTGCACTGTGGGTAGCTATCCCACAGTTCCCGCAGTCTCCGCCGCCCATTGGAATTCTGGGTTGAGATTCCAATGCCTAATGGGGCAAAAACATTGTCGCGGGTGGTGCTGGGTACATGTCGACAGGCCCTCCCTCCCTCCGTGAAAGCAACGGCAGACAATCATTTTGTGCCCTTTTTCCTGAGTTACCTGTGCAGACGCCATACCACAGCAAGCATGGAGCCCGCTCAGCTCACTGTCACTGTATGTTTCCTGGGCGCTGGCAGACGCGGTGCTGCATTGCTACACAGCAACAGCTCATTGCCTTGTGGCAGCAGACAGTGCAATAGGCCTGATAACCATCGTCATCATGTACTAAGTGCTTTTGGCCGCCTCGGAGAGGTCAGTTAGGAGCGCCTGGGCAGACATGGGCGCAGGGACATAAATAGGAGTGACTCGACCAGGTCATTCTTTTGAGTCCTGCTGGCAGTCGTATTGCACCGTCTTCTGGCGAGCAGCCAGAAGATGAGGATGGCTAGTAGTCCTACTGTTCCGTCTGCTGC